GTCTGGGAATCATGATATGCGATATGATTTGATATCTGATTTTTCGCTTCACAGTGAATGCAGCTCTATCTCCTAACTTTGTTGTAAGAGGTGCCAGTAGATACCACACCAAAAGGTTAACGAGCCCCGCGCGGCGAAGTCCAAGACTACTAGCAAAACGACGAATGCAAATGAAGGTATATTGCCTACACAGTTGCTATTAGTGTCGTGACACAATGTCACCCATTGCTCACTCCCCTAAAGGGAGTGAACGTTGCGTGACGACATTGCTGCAAAAGAGACTATATTGATGTATGCTTCGTTTTTTTATCATGTTAATGTGCATTTAAATCTTCCAATATATATATTTTTTTCATGAAGGCTTTCAACGCGTCTACTTCAAGTTTAGTAGGAAGGTAAATATTCCACAGCTTTAAAATCAAACCACGATGCATTAGTCTAAGTGCTGGGTTTACACTTACTCCACCCTCTGTGTATTACTTCCACAGCTAAGAAGAGTGTGTATCTGCGTGGGGAAGGGGAGGGGTAGTGGATCTTTAGCTTGGAATGACTCCGCTAAAGTCTAATTGCTACAGGAAATGATTGCAGGAATGATTGCCCTTGTTTTATTCTGTATTGTCATTTAACAGGGATGTACTTGGGTTTAATATCATTCATGCTATCACTGTTATTATTGGTTTGTAGTTCTGCCAAGAATCAACATTCATTTCGTGTGTTCAACACCCCAACACCATTACGTCACAAGGTATATTACATTGATATTAATAATAATAATGATATATGATGCTGATATTATTGATATTAATAATAATATAGATAATGATAACAGTCCCCCTGTAGCTTTGTTAGTACCCAGGTCACTTTCTTTTCTCAACAGTTGGACATAAATCACCACAGGATTCCCAACACCTCTTGTCAGACAGACTCCCCATCATCCACAGCTGTGTTTTCACCTGACTTGTCTTTCACCTCAGATGTTGAGTTGGTGGAGTTAAACCAGACGGACAAGAAGTTAAACTATGACAATATTGATGTTTAATAAGTTTTATACCTAAATATATTGACCAATGAAACATACATCCCTTGCCCCAGGAAACTTGATTTATGCAGTTGCCCTTCACATACATTGCACTAGCGCAAGATACCTGCATATCAATATATTACTAATGACAGTATGGTAATCAATGAAAGATACATCACTACCCCCTACCCCTGGGGA